CCATGAACCTACCACGTTAGTTTGGTCTGAGAGTCCGAGCTTAAGCCCGAATAAAGACTCTTTGTTCTTGCATGCTCTCTGGACTCTGTGGTAATTCTTGGGGATCTGTTCTCTGGGCACAACATTAACCACTGAGCCATCTCTGCAGCCCCATGCATGTGTTTTTTAAAGTTGTGTGTGTGTGTGTGTGTGCGTGTGTGTGATGTGTGGGCACATACACGGCAGTCTGTGGACAGTTTGTAGGAGTTGGTTCTCTCTTTCCACTATGGGGTATCAGGCATCAAACATAAGTTGTCAGGCTTGGCAGCAAGTGTCTTTACCCACTAAGCCATCTCAGCAGCTGTTGGGGACCCCTGCTGTGAAGTCATAGTCTCTCCATGTCTGGGTGGCCCACGGGCTCGGTTCTCATATGCAGATGACTCCTTTCAGCAGAGTACCTGGCATCTTCCTAACTCTCCTTTTGAAGTGCCCACCACAAATGCCCTAACACAAACATGGCCTCTGGCTCTAGGAATACCATGCTTTCCTGTGTGATTTTTCAGGTAGTCAGCGGTCTGGCAGCATGGCAGAAACCCACTTCCATATGCAAATAGAATGTCTCACAAAGTATCTATCAGCCAAAGCTTTTACCACTACCCCCATGGTATAAATATCCCAGTCTTCTCTCAATAATAGAGAGCTGGATCACTTGAAGCTACACTTAATAAAAGCTGTGACACGGACTAAGCAGAGTCCCGCGTCTTACTGGCGATCCAGCCTCTCCGAAGGCAGCATTCCTCCATCACCGGCTCACGGATCCCAGCTTCAGCCGCCTTGTGCTCTCCTGCGTGATCCAGTGGCCAGTGGATCTTGCATCAAGAGGAAAGCACACGGGGGAAATTAAGGTGGTACACGGCTGGACAACGCTCCAGCAGCAGAGACCCACAGAGACATGGAGAAGCCCGCAGGGCCAGACCCGCCTTCTTCCAGGGCGCGAGGCTGAGACCAGGGGACCGATCCCCGTGCCGCAACTCTCCAGGCGTGCCCGCGCACACCACGCCAGGGTGCCCAGCACGCACGCACCATAAGCAGCCTTTGTGTGTTTTTTCAAGTGCAGTCTGGTATGCCAATGAAACATGCTTCAAGGGTTTGCTTCATGTGTGACAACTTCTTACTGTTTCCCTTGGACTAAGTCTCAGCATCTCTCTCTCTCTGTTCATGTCTAGGTCCCTTAATGCCCGCAGCAGGGATGGAGTGGCAGGTGTCTAGAGACTTAGGGTCAAGGGCATGCCCAATAACATCTCAGGATGGGCCATGGCAGTATTATTCCTGGCCCAGACTGATATGACACATTCAGCAGGTGTACTTCTGGTCCATGTACCTAGTGTATCCTGGCATGTTTGCAATACCTTTGGGGATTGTCTATCTATCATGGACTGGGGAATCAGGTCAGGAAATAGAGATGCCTGGCTCCATATCTCCATTCTCAGAAGAATACAGGCCAATCTGGTCTCTGGCAGAGAACCCCAGATCTTGGAAGATTTTATGTTTGTTCCACAAATAATCCCATGCCAAGGGAGTACAACCTTAATTACTAAATTAAAAACACCACAGGTATTACCAATCCCTAAATGGCTGCCAATGACATTGGTTTAGTTGCTTACATGGCTCAAAAGGACAGAGTTGCTTCAAGAGCTGGGCCCTGCCAAGTAACTGGCTGTGGCAATCAATGCTTTAACAACTGACTTTGCAACTTATTCTCAATCCTGAGACCTACTACTTCTTGAATTTTTCAAGCAGCTATATTCAAAGACTGTCCTGAGTGGGGTTCTCCCCCATAGCCTGGCCTGAGGCTCAGCTTCTCAGACCTCAAGGCAAATAGTGTTTTAAAGAAGCCAGAAGTCATTAAAAAGCTGTGATGTGTGGGCTGGGCTTGGGGTATGTATGGAGTGACTGGTGAGGGAGGGAGCCTTGTTAACATACAGTTCCAGTTTCTGAAGGCCTCTCAAATGTCTGTCCTGTTCCTTTGTTCCTTCACCTCCTCTAAATCCAATTTTCTTCTCTGGTGGCCCTATCCAGGACTTTCCTCATCACAAAGCTATCTCTTCCTCTTCATACCACCTATCACACTGTCTTCTGGTTTCAGGCCTTTAAAGTCACTCCTATGAGGAGAGATCTTTCTAGGACATGTCTTTCAGTCTGTAGTTCCCTTAAGGTCTACAGGTCTGCCTCCCCTCCTAGCCCCAATCCCAGCAAGGCCTGGCAGGAGATGGTGTCCAGCAACCTTTGTGGATCTAAGCTGAGGCAATCTCATGGTCACTGTGACTTGCTCTAGCATCCAGTTCAGCCTCAAGGAATCTATTCTCATGGCAACAACAGTGAAATATGATCCACTTTTAGCCAAGGAGACACCAGGGGAGGTGTCCCAGGGGGCTGAGGGGCAGGACTTTGGAAAAGACAACTCAGGTTTCCCTTTCCTTACTTTGATGTGGCTGCATCTGGAAGCATAGACTTAGAGGTGCTCCAGCTCCAAAGAAGGAAGACTATGGGTAGAGGAGGAATTCAGAGAAACAGAGCTGGAGTCCTGATGTGCCAGAACTTAAGACCCCACTGCCTCCAGACCCCTGTGCAGCTGACAATAACTCTCTTCTTATCACACACTCTGATTTATGTTCTTTGCGACCAAAAACATCCCAGGCTGATACAAATAACACAGTGAAGACAGAAAAACATGTACTAAGCCCTATAGCCTTCCTGGGCTCAGTTTTTCCACTTGTCAAACTGTGATGAGAGGGTCTGAAGGCAAGGCAGAACCAGCATGCTAATGAAAGAGAACTGCAGAAGCTAAGGGCATGGTGTTGGTGTCAGACAGACCTGAGAGCACACCAGCCCTCTGCTTCCTGGCCCTGAGAACTTGAGGGAGTTGTGTAAGTTAATTACTAGGTTGTACATCTAAAGGATGAGCACAGAACGGATGAGGACCAGGTGAGGGCTTAATGATGGACCTGGTGCTTAGTAAGTGTTCCAGAGCCAAACTGGCTGTTCTGGCTGCTCAGATCTGCAGAGGAGCTACAAAACGTCAAAAGGGAGAGGAGCAGGAAGGCGTCTTTCTAACAGAGAACCACAGATGTTCCTCCCTCAACCAGCATAGCCATCAGTCAAGGACTGGACTGACTGGATCAATGCTACTGGAGGAGGAAGGCCTCACATATGGGAGGTTTGGGGGATAGGAGGCTTTGTCCCAGGGATGAAAACCAATGGAGACATGTCAGACTAGGATGCCAGGCATGGTGGTACAAACCATCTGTAATCCTAGTACTCAGGAGGTAGAGGCAGAAGGGTCGGGGTTCAAGGCTGGCCAAGGCCAGCCTGGGCTACATGAGACCTGTCTCAGAAAAACAAAGAGGGCTGGGAACACAGGAGCAAGATGTGGAAGCTGGAGTGGGAAGTGTGCCTCCAAGAGGGGAAGCCTGACTGACCCAGCAAACTAGAGGGAGGTGATAGAAAGAACACCTAGAGAGCAGGAGGGGCTCCCAGCTGGGACTTTTCCTGCCAATAAAAAGGAGTAACAGAAGGTCTTCCTCCAGAACTCAAGGTCTCACCCTATGTCACAAATGAAGAAATTGAGCTGGGAAGTTTGTGCCATTAGAAGTGGTTCCACAGGAAGGAGAGGTACAGCCTCAACACAGGGCCTATGGAGTTCAAGGTGACTTTACACCACTAACTGTTTGTAGCTGCAAGCAACAGAAAATCTAGGTGTTGCAAAGCTAGATGCTTATTAAGGAGTTAGAGAGAGGGCTCAGTAGTTAAGTGCTTGGTGCTCTTCCAAAGGACTGGAGTTTGACTCCCAACACCTGTGTTAGGCAGCTACCGGCGAACTCGTGCACTCTTCAGGCCTCCTCAGGAACCTGTGGCACATGCATACACATAAATAAAAATAACAAAAAATAAGATATAAAAATATGTTTATTAGCTCAAATCCAAGGATTCTAGAGATAAAGGCTTCTAGGGCCACTACCATGTTTCCTCTTGGGTGGCTGTTAGGGGATCCTGGGTGTGCCCTATCTCTCTAAGCCCTGGCATGTGTAACTGGCACTTGGGGCCTTAATTGTTTCTCCTACAGCTGTCTCATCTGCCTGATCAGCTCAGTCAATTGGAAGGCAGACCTTAGTGAGGGTGGTGATTTGTGGACAATCCCTGACTCATCTTTTTCTCCAGCCCACCATGGGAGCAGGACTCCCTGCTGGCTGCTTCTGCAGAGTAGGCATACCCTGTCTCCAGGCGGTGTTCCCCAACACCTGCCCTACACGGCCAGAAATTCCAGAAGTGTTCTTGACACAATTTGTTTTCCAAAGACTGGAGGTTTTCCAAAGATGGGGCGGCTGAGACTCAGAGTTGGAAGGTCAATCAAGGTCCTTCAGCCACAGAAGGGTAGGGCCCAAACTAAACAAAAACTGAGCTAGAGTCTGGCTCTACAAACCTCTCTCTCTCTCTCTCTCTCTCTCTCTCTCTCTCTCTCTCCCCCCATTCTCTCTCTCCCTCCCTCTGTGTGTGTCTTTTCTATCACATTCATAGACTGAAGTTGGAGTTGGTAGAGACTTTCATGGGGACCAGGACCCTTGTGCCCTCAGGCTGTTCTCCCTTAGGTGCTCACCCACCTCTGTGTTCCCACACCCCCTGCAACACAGCTGAGCCTGCCCCATACTGTGAGCAACTTGTGGGCAGGGCCTAGACCAGGCCATGGAACAGCTAAGGTTGGATGAATAGATGTCCTGGGCCTGAGTGAGCCTCAAGAACTTAACCTCTTGGGACCTGGGCTGATGGTCAATGGCCCCAGGAAAATGCTAGGCCCCAAGCCTCTTAAATTGATAACTCTGAGGATAAAGTGGTCCAGAACATGGGCAGGGGGCAGGCAGAGGCAGGCAGCTGGTTGGCAGGTGGCAGGCGGGGCTGCTCAGGGGAACAGAGTAGCTCTACTTCCTGTGGGTGAGGGCCCTGCGTCTTCTTGGAGGAGGTTGCACAAATCTTCCTGTCCTGGCCTCAGACTGCCTGCCTGCTTGGCCTGTGCACAGCCTGCCTCTCTCCCAGTCCTGTCTGCCACCCGGGCTGCCTGCCCTGGGTCTCAGCCTGTGTCCTCCATCTCTAGGGCTGGCGAGGGACTGGGCCGGACACCGTGGCCCACCCTCTCATCACTGGGCAAGGCTCCTTCCTCATTTTGCTGCTGATTCTAGCCCCAAACAAAACAGGTTAAGCCTTTTTCCTCCCTCCAGCAGTTGTCTCTGGCTTGTGGCTGCCTTCTGAGTGCAGACGGCGCCGGCTGCGAGGGGGGGTGCCTGGGCCAGCTGTGCTGGGACTGGGACGGTGCTCTTGGCTCCTGGCCCATGTTCAGCCCTGCCTGAGGCAGGAGCACTTGCATTTGCCACGGCAGACGCCTGAGGATGATGCCCCAGCTGCAGTTCCGAGATGCTTTCTGGGTGAGTGGAATCAACTGGGGGTCTGCTGCGCAAGTCCAGCAGGGCAGAAATGTCCCAGGGAGGGAAAGCATGGGGATGCAGCTCTGAAAAGGGAGTATTCTCATAAAAACCGTAGTTGATGGTTGGTCTTAATTGTTGTGGAGGTGGCCTGGGCCATGATCTCTACTGAGATGGAAGCAGAGGAGGGTCCCTGGTTAGAATATTGATTTCTCAGCATACATCAACCCCATGGGCAGGAGATGGCCTCTGTTCTCCCAAACTGATTCCCCTCTGGGATACCTCATCCCAACTACTAGAGCCTTCTAGGACAGTCTAATGTGAATAAGGACTTGAGGAATGCAATGATGAGGAAGAAGTCTGAGGGTGTGGACACCAGGCAAACTCTGATTTGGGTCTTGGCTTTGTATGCACTGGGTAGGTCATTTTATGTCTCTGGGCCTCATTTTCTCCATCTGTATAATGGAGATAAAAAATAAATTTCTGACACTTGGAAGTGATCCAGTGAGGTAAAGCCTTTAGCACCTTGCCAACTTCCCAAAACTAATTCTCTTTCTCTCCCCTAATATCTGCTCTCCTGCAGAACTTAGGGGTCCTTGAAGGAGGTAGTTGAACTGAGCAATTTCTTGCTTGCTTTTTCAAATTCAGCACAGGTATAAATCAAGATTTTTTGCCCATGAAATAAGAGCACCTGTCCAGCAGTGGGGGTAAACGGGCTTGGCTCAGGCCACACAGCCTGCACAGCCTCTCTTGTTTCTCCCTTGCCCTTCAGCTGTCCCTCTGCTCCTCCAGCCCTGCCTGTCCTTTGTGGCTCTTGGGGACAAGCTGAGCCCTTTCTGGTTAAACCTAGGAAACATAAGTCTCTGATCCCACAAAGAACTCTCTGGCTCTCTCATTCTGCTGGTTCAGCCTCAGCCCCAGCCTGGCTCTCCCTGGGCCCTTTCCTGGGGCTGCAGCCAGAAGGATAAGAGCTAATGAGCCAGGCCTTCCTTCCCTTCTGCCTAGTTCTGCTTGGGGCCCATGACCGGATCCTGAGTGGCCTGCTTCCCTTGTAACTAACTACACGGAGGACAGAGAGTCTTGCCTGAACTTAGTTTCCCTATCTTTACAAAAAGCCTGTAGGACCAGCCCAGAGATGCAGTTGAAGCACAGCTGGCCTGCCCATTCGGTTCACCATGGTGCTTACTGCCTAAGCAGACAGCCAGGTCCCCAAGAGGCAGGCCTGGGAGTGTGATTCACCACACTGCTGCTCTGGCTTAGAGCTCTACAGTCCACGGAAGGCCAGGGACCCTGACCATCTTACCCCTAGCATCTCTATCCTAACCCCCAAACCTTGGGCCCACCTTCCTTAGAGCAAAGTTGGGTCAAGGAGTAGCCCCAGTGGCAGGGTCCAGACAGACAGACAGTATATAAAGGAGTAGGGTGTGGTGGCAGCAGCAGCAACCAGCTCACCCAGGGCAGCTTCCTGGGTGGGTCCTGCCCTTGTCTATTTGACACACCTCATGGATTTCAGGTGCCCTCTCTTCTCCATCACTGGCTCCCTGGGCCTGGGTTAGGAGACAGCTTCCCAGAGAAAGCAGAGCTGGGACAAGGAAAGAAGTAGACAGAGGAAGTCTTTCACACTGCCCTTGAACCCTGAAGCCCGGCAGCACAGTCTCTGAAAATAATTAATCTTGGGCCTAGTGATGGGTTATGCCTGCAATCCCAGTACTTGGAAGGCAGAGGCAGGAGTATCACTGCAGATTCAAGGCAAGTGTGATCAGCATAGCAAGACATCTCAAAGAAGAAAAGATGGGGGCTGGAGAGATGGCTCAGTGGTTAAGAATACTGTTCTTGCAGAAGACCCCGGTTCAAATCCCAGCACCCACATGGCAGCTAACAACTGTCCGTAACTCCAGTTCCAGGGGATTGGACAGCCTCTTCTGTCTTCCTTGGGCATTGTACGACACAGGTGCACTTACCTACATGCAGACTACATATATACACATACACATAAAAATAATAAATAAAATATTTTTTTAAAAAGAAGAAAAGATGGGAATTGTGGGGGGATAGCTACTCTTTAAGTAGTGGAAAGAAACCTTTGAACTAGATGGAACATATTTAATTCCAGAGCATTTCAGTTATCTGGCAAACTCATCTATCTGGAACATAGATGGGAACCAGCCCTATTTCTGAAATTAGCTCACAATAAGGAGGACAGCAAAGGCTTCCCGGGAATTAAAGATGTTGTTACCAAGAGCTTTTATCAAAGTTCATATACTTTACTCACAGGAGATACCCCAAAGAGCCCTCTCTCTCTCTCTTTCTCTCTCTCCATATATATATATAGTATGCATATGTGTGTTTGTGCATTCTATGTATGAATATGGGTGTATGTGGAGGTCAGAGGAAAGCCTCTGCTGTCAGTCTTCACTTTCCACCTTGTTTGAATCAGGGTCTCTTTGTAGTTTGTTGGCTGTGTACACCAGGGTGGCCCTTGAGCTTACAGGAATTTTCCTTTCTTTGCCTCCCATGTTGCCTTAGAAGCACTGGGATCACAGACATGAGCTATTGTAAATGAGTCTCTGTGGGTTCTGGGACTTGAACTCAGGTCCTTATGCTTGTGTGACAACAGAGCCATCTCCCCAGTCCTGACTCAAAATTTTAATTGTAGCCCACAAACTCTAATTTTACCCCCAATTTGGACAAGTGCATTCATGGAGGTCCTATAGATATAATCATTAGTAGAGGTCTGTGTGGAGCCTTATTCACAGTTAGTGATAGATAAACATTGGTGGACCTGAGCTGATTGAGGCATTCTCACCTGGTAGCAAAGGAGACAGAAAAATTATTTAAAAACAGATATAATAGGCTAGGTATGGTGACACATACCTGTAATCTCAGTATTCAGGAAGTGGAAGCAGGAAAATAGTAAAGTTTAAAGCCAGCCTGGGCTATGTAGGAAGATGTAGGCTAGCTGGAGACACCTAGCAAGACCCTGGCTTAAATCCTCCCTCTCCCCAAAAGTAGATAAAATGACTTATAAGCAATGGGGACAGTTAGCATGGTCCTCATTAGGCCCACATTTTCAATTCTGACATTGGTAACACGGTATTCATTTATAAGCCTGCTTCTACTGTGCAGAGCATTCAGAAGCAGGCTGCTGTGGGCTGGCCACAGCAGGAAGGGAGGGATAATTTGATTTCTTGTCTATGTACACATGGTAAAAAGCATTGCCGCTCTGCAGGAAGTTTGTGGCTGAGCCTCAGAGTAGGACCTGTCAGTTGAGCTCAGATAGAGGCTGAGAATACCAGGTTTCCCCACTAAGAGCTTTTGACTAATACAGCCTGCTCAGCACTGGGTCACAAATATAAGAAAGCTCCTACCACCACTGCCTCAGCTGGCCAGTGGCTCAGCAGCCCAACTATATTGCATTCAAGCTCTGCTTCCTCATAGCACCAGTGCATGCTAAGTAAATAAATGCTTATAGATTAAATGAGAGACCTATGGATTTCCCCATGGTCTACCTGCCTTCCTGCACCCATTTTTCTCCCTTCCCTCATTTACTATATTCTACAAGCGTATATGTATATTTAATTAATTAATTTATTTTGTTTTTTGTCTTTTTGAGACAGGGTCTGGTCTCCCTGTAGCCCCAGCTGTCCTGGAACTCACTATGTAGACCAGGCTGGCCTTGAACTCACAGAGATCCGCCTGCCTCTGCCTCCCAAGTGCTGGAATTAAAAGCATATGCCACTATGCCTGGCTATCTCTTATTTTTTTTTAATATTTGATTTATTTAAGGGGCTGGAGAGATGGCTCAGCAGTCTTCTCTTGTTGCAGAAGACCCGGGTTCAAATCCCAGCACCCACATGGCAGCTAACAACTGTCCATAACTCCAGTCCCAGGGGATCCGACAGCCTCTTCTGACCTCTGTGGGCATTGCACAACACGGGTGCACTTACCTACATGCAGGCAATACACGCATACACATAAAAAATCATAAATAAAATTTTAAAATATATATTTTTTATTTTTATTTTATATATATGATTATATTGCTTGCGTGTATGTAAGTGCACACATGTTGTGCAATGCCTGCACAGGTCAGAAGAGAGTGTTAAATCCCCTGGAACTGGAATTTCGGCTGTTTTTAGCTGGCAAGTGGGTGCTGGGAATTGAACCTGGGTCCTCTGCAAGAGCAGCCAGTGCTCTTAACCACAGAGCCATCTCTTCAACCCCAACAAATATACATTTTTTAATTTTTAAAATTGTATTTTAATTTATTTATGGTGTGTTTACATCATGGGTGTGTGCACTGGCCCCTAAATTTTTTAGTAAGAGGTAGATGGTCTAAGCTGGACCCCTGAGCTTCACCCCCACATCCAGCTAAAGGAGACTACTTTGCCCTCAAGGACATCACAGTTCAGTTATAGATCTGGAGGGCCCAAATGGCTAGGCCAGGCAAGATATGCCCTAGAACAGCAGCATCTCAGCAGGACTTCCCTACCTTGGCCTCCCTGTCCCTGGGACCTGTACAGCCAAATGGCTTTTGTAAAAGAGTTCTTGGATATTGTTTTAAGAGAGAAAATCTAGTTCTGGAATAGGTTTTCATGAGATCCCCATCCAATCCCTTTTGGGGTAGTTAAAAGAAAAGGTAAGGGCCAGAAGGGGTGGACACCACCCAGGGGCTAACGAACAACAAGAATGAGCTTTTCCCACTTGCTTGTGTGGGGTCATATCTCACCCTTCCAGGCTGGGCCTGCCCCTTCCCTTTGTCCCTTCAGCTGCTGGTGCCTCTTCCCCTTCCCAGTCCCAGGACTCTGAGGTTCCCCATTTAGGAGGCTCAGAGAAGAGGACGGAGTGAGAGTCCCCACATCAGCCTGTCCTACAGCTGCCCATCTCACCCCAGGACCTGTCCACCATGGCCCTGTAGCATCAAGATAGTTTGACATTTGCATGCTGTTGCCATTCTGTCTTAGGCTGTTAAAGCTATGGATGTGTCTTCTAAAGAAGCAAAA